ATACCTGCCTCAAAACTAACTTCAAATATTTCCCTTTCTAATCAAAATCAATTACCTGTACACCCAAGAATCTTCATTAACTCCAAAGTCATGATATCCATATTCACCACTAAGTGAAAAGGAAATAATTAGGCTGCATTTCTTTTGTGAAAAGTGGTTTGAAGTGTTTGTATCGATAATAAGGATCGTGACACACATGGGGCTAAGGTGACTCTTGTCCAGAGATGGTTTCAGAGGGTTTCTGGGAAGTGGAATAACACTGCAGTAGTCTTTCTTATTAGTGTGGTCTGTGATTTGCTCATGATAAGATGGAGGAGTATATTAGTTAAAAATGCAGATTTGTGTGTTTCACCCCAGACCTACTAAATCATAAGCTCTGTGGGTGGGTCAAGGTTCTTGAGTTTTTAAAAATCATCCTTATGAAATTAGAGACTCACTCCCATGGTCTATAAAAATGTACATACCCTTTGGCCCAGTAATCCTACTAATGGGAAACTAAGGAAATAATCCAAAATATAGAAAAAGTCATGTGAATGCTCCTGATACTCCATTTTTATTTATAGAAAGAAAAGAACTAGGAACAATATAAATATTAAATATTCAGAGAATGGTTAAATAAATTTCAGTTGATTCATTAATTGTACTGCACTAAGTGTTTTTATCAGATTTAAAATTTTTAAATTATCACATTTCTTTATTACAATAATTCTGAGGAAAGCATTATTTCCCTCATTTTACAGATGAGAACATTGAGGTTTAGGGAAATTAAACAGCAAAGTTAATAAGTGGGGGGAAGGTTAATAAGTGGAAAACCCAGAATTCCAAACTCGGTCAGTTTTATTTTAAAGTTCAAATTCAAAAAAAGAAAAAACCCACACAAAAATTCACCAACCTTTGAAAATATAAATGTTTATTAAAGTTTTAGAACTAGGTTTTTCCCCTTATGTCTCTTTTTTTTCACCTTTTTATATTATATTGATACATATAATTAACATGTTGAATTATTAAAAAAATTATGGCATATTTAAGCAACTGTAATATTCTCATGTGGCTCAAACAGTGTTGCAAGGAGAGGAGTACATACAGAAAAAGCTGGACCATGAAAGTCCTTCCCATAAGGAGTGCTGAACAATGTGTAGCAGAAATGTCAGTTTATAGAAGGGTTGTGGGGGTAGAGTTGTGAAATAATCAGACCTGTGTTTTAATAAGATAGTTTATATTGATAATAATTATTCTGAGCCTCGGCCTTTAAAAAGCTAATAGGATAGTGTCCTTTGAAAATGGCAAACAGTTAATCAAAAGCACTAGGCCCCTAAAGTTACCTGATTTGGTGTGCAAGACCCTCATAACTTTCTTTTTATAAAGTGAGTGTTCAGTCTGGAAGACATTGTAAAGAGTGAGAGAGGGAACAAAAAGGTGAATTGTAATTAGCTGATTTGATTTCTGTTTCAAATTCCAGGCTGTATTAAATTCACAATCCTTGCTGACAATTTCTCATCTCTCAGAGATTATCCTTCTTTCAGCATTCTGGAGCTTCAGAGTGTTCTTTAAGACTTAAACTAACAATAGCTTTCTAGTTTGGGATTTGTTTTGTCAATGTGTGAGGGTTAGGTTCATCAGCAGATGTCTGTGTAAAATACATTGAAAGTATACTATAATCCTTCTTCAATGCTAAAGTTGTCTCCAAAATGAGAGTAATTTAAGAACTAAAAAAGTTATCTCAATGGCAAAGTTTTAAAGTTTTTTTAATTGCCCTTAAAAAAAAAAAAAAAACACAAACAAACAAAAAAAACTGGACTACCAGAGAATACTGAAGGCATTGTACACAAGGTTGGAAAATAGCCTTTATAGATTAGCTACAGATCTTAGCCAGGGTCATACAAAAGGATTTAGCTATTCATTCACAAGTTCTTGTATAATTAATCTGTGTTTTGGCTTTCTCATTTTTCATGAGTTTGTGGAAGTAGCTTTTTAAAAATTAAAGATACCATGCCACTTTACTTTGCTTCAGTTCAATAGCACATTTGTTGAGTACCTACTGTGTTCAAGACATTGCTTTAAATGCTATGGGGTTAAAAGATAAATAAGACAAAGCCCCTGGGCAACTCAGTTTGGTGGTAGAGCAAAGTCACATGTATAAATAAATAATGCTAGGTTGCACACATAAAGGGATATTTAGGAGGTTACAGATAAAGGGAGCAGTGGTGGAAGAGGGGAAGGGAGAAGTATAATGACCATCTGTAGTTGGCAGGAAGGCTTTATTAAGGAAATGACATTTGAATTTGGCTTGAAAGAATGTAGTGTTTTCAATAGACCAAAATGAAAACAGCTCTGATTAGGTGCTCAATTAATGTTTGCTAAAGGGATTAATGAAAGGCACAGGTGTGAGATGTGCTTGAGAAATTGTGAGTTCACTAATATATATCTAACCACAAATCCTCTTATGTGAACAGTTCTAATTCAGGTAATCCAAGACATATACAAAGGATGTATTTTTAAAGATTAACCTAAAAATGTTTATGTCGAAAGCATTTTTCTCATAAGAAATGATGGTAAAGGAGGAGATTAGGATGTTTTGGTCAACTGAAGTGATTTTGTAGTCTAATTTAGTGGTACTCAAAGAATGGTTTATAGACTTTGGTAATCCATGAAACCCAAGGATTCACAAGGTAAAAATTTTTTAAATTTCTCAGTTATAATTTCTAAGGTAGTAAATGCCAATAGTTGCCCTATATAATAAAAGGATAATATACAAATTGACCCTCACACAAGATGGCCATCCCCATGTGGTCATAAGATGGCCGCCACAAGATGGCCAGCAGGGGAGGGCAGTTGGGGGCACCAGGCCTGCAGGGGAGGGCAGTTGGGGGCAGGGGAGCAGTTAGGTGACAATCATGCTGGCAGGAGAGTGGTTAGGGGGTTATCAGGATGGCAGGCAGAAGCAGTTAGGGACAATCAGGCAGGCAGGTGAGCAGTTGTGAGAGGAATGTATAACTGCCAGTTTAGGCCCAAGGGGTCCCAGATTGGAGAGGGTGGGCTGAGGGACCCCTCCCCCACCACACACACACACAGTGCATGAATTTTGTGCACCAGGCTTCTAGTAACCTATATAAACAAAAGTTCTCTTGGATTCCCAATAAGAGTATAAAGGGGTCCTGACTCCACCAAAAAGTATGAGAACCACTTGTCTATCTTATCCTAGCCTATGTGTCTATATTTATACATTTAGATTTGTAGGATGAATGGTAGAGGATGGGGGAGGGTTAGAGAAGGGATACATTAGAACAAAAGGTTGGAGATGATGCTGGAGTAGCAGATGGTGGGTGGGTTGGCTTCTCTGACACCATTAGAGGTTGTTGGGCAGAAAAGAACTATTTGGACTTTTTCTTTCTTCGCTTAAAAAAAAAAATAATAGCCGAAACCGGTTTGGCTCAATGGTAGAGTGTCGGTCTGCGGACTGAAAGGTCCTGGGTTCGATTCTGGTCAAGGGCATGTACCTTGGTTGTGGGCACATTCCCAGTAGGGGGTGTGCAAGAGGCAGCTGATCGATGATTCTCTCTCATCGATGTTTCCAACTCTCTATCCTTCTCTTCCTCTCTGTAAAAAAATCAATAAAATATATATATTTTAAAAATAATAAACCTTCAGAGTCAAATTTCTCTAGTATGTATCTTGTTCCAGATTGATATTGGTATAGCAGTTAAATCACAAGCAGAAAACATAAAAGTTTTTTTTGTTTTGTTTTTTCAGCATCAATCAACATAGATAATTAAGATAAGAAAAACCAAGACATTTCTGTATATGCAATATTTTTTTCTGGATACCTCTTCCTCAATGAAAAAAACCTTAGTTTCAGTACATCTAACACTTTTTGTTGGCTGTTATTTAAAAATAGGAGGTAATGCCCTGCCAGTGTTGCTGGGTGATTGAGCATAGACCCATGAACCAGAATGTCATGGTTCGATTCCCGTCAGGGACATGCCTAAGTTGAGGCCTCAATCCCCAGTATGGGACATCCAGCAGGCAGCAGATCGATGATTCTCACTGATAATTGATGTTACAATTTCTCTCTCCCTCTCTCTTCATCTCTGAAGTTAATAATTTTTTTATAAATAGGAAGTGAAACTGAGATGTAGGACTAAAAAGGGGTGTGTGGCAGAAGCTAGGACAGAAATGGAGGCTATTAGAATACAGCCTTAGAGAGAAATGATGAGGAAGAATAAAATGGAGTCTGAGAAGTGCCCTCAGAAACCACTCAGGCTGTGAGTTTGGCTTCGGGGTCAGCAGAAAGACTTTTGGGAAGTGGGAGTCACAGTAACATAAAAAAGACATTGACAATGTGTCTGAAAAGCCAGACACTGAAGAGCAAAACAGACATCCCTCCAAATGGGCATATTTTATCTACAAAAAAAGCAAAATGAATTTCAAAGCATCTTACTGAAATGATGCAAGAGGGAGATATTTTAAAAGTTTTTCTAGTGACCAAGGCATGGTACATGGCAATTAATTGTAAGTATTCATTTAAAATGTATATAAAATTCAATGCTATCTTCTTCTTTTGATGGAAAGCATTTGTTGTTTTAACTTAGTAATTGTAAGTATAGTTCTAAGGGGCTTTCATAGGCATCTTTTATGTTTTTAGTATCCTCTGAACATATAAATATGCTTTGCCTATGTTGTGTTAATTTCCTCATTGGTTAGTTCTCCTACCATGGAGGCTTTCAGAAACTTAAATACCATGGCATTAAAAGTTTTGATGCAAAATACACTCTGGTGTTAGAGAAGTAGATGAGTAGAGAATCATAAGAAATACCATAGAAAGGCCCAAGAGTATGAAACTCCAAAGCATATAAGCAGTTTACATTTATTTAAATTTGAAATTGATTTTTTAAAGCTTCTGTGTAACTCATTCAGCATATTGAATGCATTCTGTTAATAACACAGTTTTAGACCTACCAAAGAAATATGAAGAGCTGCTACATTTCTCTGTTTTCTTTCAGCTCCTGAGAACCATGTCTATGCCCAAAGGTAGAGTTGTGGAAAAGAACCTTGATGAAGAAGGGCTTGAAAGTGGAGACTGCGGTGATGATGAAGATGAGTGCATTGGAGCCTCTGGCGATGGAATGATGAAAATGAAGAATCAACTCCGCTTCCTTGCTGGTAATTGATTAGGGCCATCTCCAATCTGAGCTAAAATGGTGATGCTTGGGAATTAAAAAACAGTTGAATCTGCCCTCTGTAACTCCCTTAAATCCCTGTAACACAATGCCATTGCCATTAACTCTTCAAGGAAAGACAATATTCTAGAAAATGAAGTTTTCAGGTAATCTTTTTAAAATTTCTGACCTAGGTAGATTAAAATGGTAACTTAATGTTTTCTATGATCTAAAATGAACTGACATAATCAATTGACTGTTTCCCATTGGACATTTCCTTGGTTCTTTCCCATTATAAAACAAATGCAATAGCGGGAGTCTATGGAAAACAAATTATGGGATAACTTTCTTAAAGAAGAGACATCACTTGACCCTCTCTTCTGAGAACACCATATTTGCTTTGTTTTCTTACGAGTAATCTAACATAGGTAGGCTATAACACTTAACTGCAAAGCTTCATATTATAAAAATGACAGTGATGGAAAAAAATTAAATGAAGCTGCTGGGGTCAAGAAGGCAAAACAACAGCAACAAAAACAAAAAAGCCCTCATGTTTGTATTCATTTTCCCAGTTTACAAGGTACTCTTATATGGATAGGTGTACTTGTTTCCATTTTACAGATAAGAAAAGTGGGACTCAAAGAAGAAATGAGGTTTATCTAAGTGGAATAACTGGAAATATAATTTGGCTCTTCCCTCTTCAGTGCATAGACTTCTCCTTGAAATTCTACCACCCATTGCCTCTAATATCCTTCTCCTCTTCCTCCTTTAGCATCTTTCCTACACTAGTTTTTCCTAATCCTACTCTAAAACTGGTATTATCCAGAGGTCTCTTCTTAAGCCTCGGTCTTTTCTCTCTTCTCTATAAAAAAAAGACAGACCTCACTCACTTTGGTTCTTTTAATTATTTCACTTTTTTGGCAAAATTAAAAGAAATATATAACATGAAATTTGTCCTCGAAAGTAACTTTTAAGTGTACAGTATAATATTGTAATTATATCTAAACTAGAGGCTCAGTGTATGAAATTCATGCACTGGTAGGATCCCTAGTGGCTGTTGGCTGCCAGCAGGTACTCCCTCTCTTCCCCTGGCTAGCCTCATCCCTGCTCCCTGGTCAAACTCTCAGAAGAACTCTGGTCGAAGGGACAATTTGCATACTATATTTTTATTATATAGGATTATACAATAGATCTCTAGTTGTTTCATTTTGTATGACTGAAATTCTAAGGTTATTGAATAGTAAATTCCCTTTTCTCACCTCCTTCAATCTCTGGCATCACCATTTACTTTTTGCTTCTATGAATTTGTCTACTCTGAGTATCTCATCAAAGTGGACTCAGAAAAAAAAAGAGTGGGCTCCTGTGATATATGCCCTTCTGTGACTGGCTTATTTCACTAAGCATGTCCTTAATATTCATCCATGATATAGTATGATAAGATTTCCTTTTTTAAGTTTGAATGATGTTCCATTATATGCATGTACCATAATTTTTTTATCCACTGATCCACTGGTGGATATTGAAATTGTTTTCACTCTGGCTCTTGTGGGTAATGCTTCAATGAACATTATTTAACTATTATATCAGTAGGGAGACAACTCAAATTCATTAACCTCCCATCTTAACTGCTCCACTGAGCTATTATCTCACATCTCCAACTGCTTCCTAGTAATTTCTACCTAGCTTTCCCACCTTTATCCTCAATTCAATGTGTCACAAATCAAATTTATCAACAGGTGGTCCAAAACTGGCTACTCCCTTAATATATTTATTTTTAAAATATCACTATCATTCTCCTGGTCACTGAGACTTAAAACTGTCATCTTTGACTCTTCTACTTTGCCCTTCATATGCAATTGAGCCCCTAACCCCTGTATATTATTGGTGATTTTTTTTCTGCTTCTGTCACTGCTTCCCTTTTATTCTACCCTCCTGTATAATCTATTTCAATCACATTTTAAGTGTTCTCCAGTTTTCTAAGCTAAGGCAAGAGTATTGAGAGCCTTACACTAGCATATTAGAGAACAAAGAATCACAGAACCAGACAGAAGATTCCACCGAATTCTTCTTATACAACTGCCAGATAATCTTTCTAAAGCAGTATAATATTGTAATTATATCTAAACTAGAGGCTCAGTGTATGAAATTTCTACCTCTCCTAGCTCAGCTGTCTTCATCTTATCTCAGTTGCCTAGAGGACAAGGCTCAAACTCCTTAGCAGAGTTCTGAGGGTATACTAGTCTAGCCTAAACTATGCTTCTGGCTTCATTTCCCAACTCTGGCCCACAAGAACCATCTATATTGGCAGAAACAACCATACTCATGCCCCATGAGTCCTGTAAACATATTGTTCTTGCTTCTGTCTTCATACCATTGTCCATTTTTATATCATGACTACCCCTTTTTTATTCCTTCACAAATTATACCCATACCTCAAAGTGCATTTCAAGTATGATTCAGTGAAAAAATAGGTTTAGCGGTAGAGCTAACTTGTTTTTATTTCTGGCCTATTTCTTATGAGCTAGCAGGACTTAGGACAAGTGTCCTTAGCCTCCTCTGTAAGTCTCCATTTCCTCATCCATCAAATGTGGATCATAGGACTATTGCAAAATCAAAGGAGTAAACTTTGTAAAGCATCTAGCCCAGTATTTAGCACATACTAGGTGGTCCTTAATTAATAGTTTCCTTGTATGAAATCTTTTTCTCCTATCTCAGTCTATAGTCATCTTCATCCTTTGAATCACTAAAATAAATTCTGCCAATGCTTTCAAAAAATAGATTGCAATGGCTCCCAAGTTCCATTCCTAGGGCATAACATGACTCAGAGCCTGTCATCTTATAAGAATAATATTGAATAAACATAAGTGATAATAGGAGTAATATTTATTGGACATTTACCACAGTGCTCTAAGCACTGTGCCAAAACTTTATATGCATTATCTCATATCATTTTCACACCTTCATGAACTAGGGGTTATTATTATTCCAACTTTACAGATGAGAAATTTTAAAATTTTATACCAGAATAAGTAGAGTAATTTGCTTAAGGTCATGCAGTCTTTAAGGATAGAGCCAGGATTCAGAGCCAGTCAGTGAGCTCTTTGAACAATTCTACTCTAATTCTTCTTCTGATCATCGATACAATCATACAAGACTTAAATCTTTGCATTTTGCTACCCATAAAATATTTTCATTTTCTAAAGGTTGTTCAGATGATTCACCAAAATATTAATTGGTCCCAGCATTGATACCTAGGACACAATACCATTCATACTTTTCCAGGAAAAGTTCCTGCTTTCCTATCTATAAGATACTTCTCTATCAATTTCAAAACACCAAGCCACAATTCCATGGTGACTTAATTTTTAAAACATTGTTTGGTGTAGGACCTTGTCAAGGGTCTTTTCAAAATCTAAATAGATTACATGTATTGGTTTTCCTTTGTCCACATGCACATTTATTCTCTCAAGGAATTCTAGTCAATTAGTTAAGCTTGATTAAACTTAAGTGTTTTGTAAACTATAAAACATGACACAAATGGTTAATTTAATTCACAGAAAAAATAATGCTTTACTCCAAATAGGTTACACTTGCCTAACAAGTTCAGTGATCTTACCAGCCTGGATTCCTTGGTTCCCCTTTGAAATTTTTCTCTTGGAGAGAAGACTTGTTGGCAATTTTCCAGGCTTATGACACATCACTTATTTGGAATGACAGGCTATACACTTTGGTCAGCTATTATACAATTTTTCTCGAAATCTGAGTAAATGCCACCTGGTGCTGGTGATTCATCAACATCTATTTAGTCAACCAGGCTTGGAGCACTATGTTTATTTACCATCATCTCATTTTGAATTCCAAATCTTCCTCCAAAGGCAATTTGGGAATGAAAAACAAAGCTCAGAGAATGTTCTGACTCTCTTGTCCCTTTTGTCCCTGAACAGACCTTCTGTAACATAACCAACAAGTGGTCCTACTGGCTGGCTTCCCTGGCTCAGTTCTTCCCTTCTTTTGATGCATGGATGAAGTGCAGGACACCTAGTTTCTATACCTGCCTTTGCTTCTAACTCCTATATGTCCTAGGTCAATCCCCTTCCTCCTTTTAGAAATACGTTTCTCCATTTGTAAAATAGAATGCCCAAACAATTTTTGCAGTCCATACTAGTCGCAGTATTATGTACATTTATTTGGTTCTAGTCCCTGGCAAGGTACTTATTGGAGTCTTTGAGCGACATCTTTTGAGTTTTCTTCTAACCTTGCAGGTTCCCAGTTTTCTTCTTCTGAGCTATTTCCACTTTCAAAAATGTTTCATTTTCCCTACTCTTGCTCCTTTGACTTTTTTAATCTCACAAGCCAGGCTTGTTACCAAGGACTGACTACACCTCAGCACACTTGTACACCAGGATGCTAAGTTCTGAGCAGTTTCCACAGTTTCTGGGCTATACTGAACTTTTAAAACTCTTCGTCCCAAGGCTTCCAAAATGCTTTCTTTTTCTATAACTTTTATTTCTAAATTTAACACAAAGTTCTTATTTAAGGTTTGCTCTAAGTTGCTGAATTTCATCGTTGGTGAGATGACTATGACATGATGTCATATAACTATAAACAGTTATAGTTTAACCTAATGCATTTCCCTTTTGGTGAGTTGCTTCACCTCCCTCAACTCGTTTCACAGGGTTGTGGTGATTAAATAAAATCATCCATGCAAAGTATTTGGCACATAACTGGCACCTAGAAAGCACTCAAAACATATGTACTATTTAAGCTATTGGTTTGTTGCTACTGTTGCTACTGCTGCTAACCTTTGGGAGCTTAAAGAGTCTGAAGATGTCGATTAGAATTGCCTTGTTTTTTCTTTGTTTAAGACCTGTGAAACTCCATTAAAACTAGATAACCAACAATCCTCTGTTGCTCCATGTGGAGTCCATGGACCAACAGAATCTGTATCACCTGGGAATTTGTTAAAAATACAAAATCTTGAGGGGAAAAAAAAATCTTGGGCAC